TAATAAACGTAGTTCGTAGAAATGCAACAATTCAAAGTAACAAAAACACCATTATATAATTACTCCAATGCTAGATGTAAAAATGTGAATCAATAAAATTGTTTTTAAAAAGTGAAAACTGGAATCATTTATATATGTTTGGTTCGTAGTATATTATTTCATTCATATTCAGTTTTTCAATGTTATGTAGGAAGTACCTCCTATTTTAAAAAAATATATATAAAAGTTAAATAAACCTAGAATTAGATATTTATTCATTGCACATTATTTTGAATAGGTACTTAATAACCTCATTTAAAAGTAATGAAAGCTTATTGTACTCAAAATGAGGTTAAACACTTGCAGTGAGTATATACTTGATAGTCTGATGCCACAGAAGTTTTATTCAGTTTTATCTTCTGTGCTGATGCTATCTGGGGTAGTTTTTAGTAACTTTTGCAGTGTAAATTTGTCTTTGGCATTCACTCCTTTTAGTTTAAAAATAGAGTATAATGGTTAGTTAGTATAAAAAACTGACTCGAGACTGCAAATGTAATTTCTGCCATTGATTTTTGAATACAAGTACGCCTATCTATTGTATTTTATATTATTTTGTGAATGCAAATTAAAATAAAAAATTAGTAAGGTATGAGTTTTTTTTCTGGACCTTGTTAAAAATTTTCAAAAGTATGTGGACTCTGCTTAAAATTACTTGCCGACCCCTGGTTTAGGTGCTTAATTTAACTGTAATAACTTAGAAGTGCATAGTGCTATTTTAACAGAACTTCAAAATTTACTACCCTAAAATATATAAATCAAACAATAAACAAATGTTTAATCAAGAAACAAATCTTAGCCTCACGCAGCCCTCCCATAGGTATAAGCCATGCTAACTGTAGGTCCTGCTCGTGAAAGAATATGCTATTTTACCGAGTGCGATTTTATCCTTTCCAATAATTAAAATTTTTCCTTTCAATTTTGAATATTTATCCTTACGTAATAACTTTATTGTTTATAGGTTGTACGAACAGCGATATTCCAATGGTAGGTATGTGTTTTTGTAATTCAAACAAAAGTAGTAAAATGACAATCTTGTATATTATATTTTTGGTAACTTTTTTAACTCCGTTCCCTATTCTTTATTATATCTAAAAAATAGTATATTTCTAAGTAAACGGCTACTATATTTCTCTAATCGCTGTGCAAATGAAACCACCTAAATATTCTAATATTGTAGGAACATATCATTATTTTTAATGTCTGTTTAATTATTTGTTAATATTACTAAACTTAATATGTTTTTAAGGAATAAGTTAATTTTTCCTTTCAATGTTAAAGTTCCCACTAAATTGGAGGTAACATAATGACGTCACACAACATAACCTAGTTTCGCGGAAATAAGTTTGTTATTAAGCAATCCTCTTGTATAAAATCCTTGCCTATCACTAGGAGTAATCGGAAACGTAAGTCATTTACCAATTCAGAATATTTGCGCCACAACGGGCAAACCGGCATATGCCCGTCGAGTGCTGCATCGGCTAAGGCCAGCTAAGGCTTTTCACCAGCGATTGGAAATACACATTATGTACTGAATTAAGAATGATTGCGGAGAAATTTTCTATGTTTTAATAGATTCGAGTTTGTAAATATGGAAGCGATGTAAATTTTTAGTACTTAAATCCAATATTTATTTTTTCTTCAAATAATAAAGAAACTGTGACATATAAAAAAAACATTTGTTTCATTTAATACATTTTTTGAATTTCAATCAGATTTTTAATAAATTATAATATGAGTATACATAAGTTGCCTTACCCACCGGGCAAGCCCTTCAGCTTCACTCGTATATTCCTCGAGTACTTACGTATCATCTTGCGATTTGTCATTGTCGTTTGTTTATGTTTAACCTAGACAAGGTTAGGATTTCTAATGGTGGTTTAGGCAAGTTTTTATTGTTTAATAGTTTGGAGTAAAGTAAAATGGCAAGTGAAATTCGCGAATTGGTGAGTAGTAATGTTAATGTATTGTTAATTTTTTAATTAGATAAAAAATTTAGTACGTTGACTTTTGATGATAAATTATTTATTTTAAAATTAAAACCTACGCCTGACATGAAAAATTTAGCAAATAAAAACAATTGCGGAAGTAACGGATCATTTAGTAAAAACTGGTACAACAAATATGAGTGGCGAACAGGCAGTGAAACCAAAACCAAATTATATTGCTAGAATTGCTTACTATGTAATGAAAAAAGTAAAACACCGTGGAACTATCTAGGATATTCAGATCTGAAACATATTAATGAATCCTTAAAAAAAACAAGAGCGATCGAATTAGCATACATATTCATCATTAAAATTTAAATTATTAGGAAAAAAAACATTCAAACTTTTCTTGATTCCGCATTTCGTGAGAATATTTTAAAACATAATAAAGTCGTGGACGAAAATAGACATTGTAAAGCACTTTATTAATACGATTATTTACTTAGCTATACAAGAACAAGATTTAAGGACCATAATGAATCAGATAATTCCATTAATCAAGGCAATTTCCGTGAGCTTACAAACTTACTTTCAAGGTACGAGGTAGGTAGGATAAATTTAGTGTTTTTAGAAAAGTCTAGTTTTTAGCAGCCTTTCAAAAACTATTCATAATGATTTAATAGAGAGCATCAATGGAGTAGCATCCGAAGTGATATTTTCAGAAATAAGAAATGCTCTATATTTCGCGTGGCAAGTACCCAAATGAAACAATGAATGTTAAATGCTTATCTCAGTTATTAGTAATTTTTAGATATGTTCATTGTGGTGAAGTAGTTGAAAGATTTATGGGATTTTTTTATGTAAGCAAGGGGAAAAAGCTGCGGATCATTATTGTTAACAGAAAATTTAAAAAATTTTGATATAGAAAATAAATTAGTAGACCAGTAGAGTGCAATTATTCCTATATGATATTAAGTTACATGAGAGAAAAAATATTTTGCCCACCCATCTCAAAAAACCACGAGCCGCCACTGGAACATAATGGGCTTATGTGGCTGCAACAGCGACAGCCACTGCTGCAGTAAATGCAGTAATATTTCGTACGTGGCGTGTGGTGGTTTATTTCTGTGAGCGGCACGTGTTAATATTCTCGTTTAGGCGTCTACGGATATTATAGTTATTAAAATGAATAACGTTTCGTTTTTACAAAAAACTTTATTTGGTTCTCTGCCTTATGAGGATAAACTAAAAATAAAAGAATTAGGTGGGCCAACACCACGATTAAATATTGAAGTTAGTGGAACAAACCGAAATAAAAGTTATAAAAGACAATTTAACAATAATGTATACACAAAAGCAGAGTGGGTGTGCGGATGTGATATAAAAAATACACTGTTTTGTTTTCCGTGCTTACTTTTCGGTGGGGATAAAGCATGGACAATATATGGTGTGAAAGATTTAAGTCATTTAAATCATTAGGTAAATAAACATAAGAAGTCAGTTAGATTCTGCATATTGGAATAATATACGGAAACACAATGAACAGGTAACGGAAAATCGTTATATATTATCTAAAATCATAGATTGCATAAAATTTTGCGGAGCTTGCGAATTAGCACTTCGCGGACACGGCGAGACAGAAAATTCGGACAACCCTGATGTGTTTCATGGACTCATAAATTTTAGTGCAGATCTTGACATATTAAAAGAACATCTAGCCACATGGGTATGACCGGGATTTTCTGTGGTTGTACCGGGAATTAGCTGTATGGTCCCGGATTCTGGATTTGCACATATAATATATGTACATTGTATAAAGAAAGACAAAGAAAAAATCATAACACGAGGAAAATTAAAATTCGTTGAATCGTTGGTAAACTTCACAAACGATTTTTTGTTTATAAACAATATTCAATAATTTAATGAAATATATTTAGTTTATTCCAATTTATTTATCAGTCAATAGAGAGTAGATAATTCGTGAATAGATATTTCAAAAAGGTATTAATTTCAAAAATCGTTCTTGTGAAAATCTGTATTTTTGTATAAATGGATTGTTCCTTGAAATTCAGAAGTGCCAGGAAAACGCGTGACCTTTAAAATTTTAAAAATTTTCGCCTGCGGTACCGTTTAGAGACTACGGGCATTTAATATCCCGGAATTCAATTCAACAAATGTATCAACCCTAAGCAGAACACATTCAATCAATGTTCAAGTGCCGCCACTGAAACTCGCTATATGCCAGTTGTCAGCTTATTCCAGTAATCAACCAATACAATGCCATATTTGTTTTCCATTACATAATTGGCCACATTTAATAATTAATTAGTTTAATTTATATATTAAAAAACAATTAAATGTAAATGACATAATTTAATGTTTAATGTTTAATCCCAGTTTTAAACCATGTTATGTTAGAATTCGTGCTTCTTTTTGAATTTTATGTTGGTTGTTTACCCATAAAATTAAATAAATTAAATTTCATTCGCTATTTCTTCCATTTTGAAATATGTATTGCTGTATGACAACTGTAAAAACACTCAAAAGAATAGTATACTTCGATCTGTTCCAATTAACAATTTGTAGGTAAGTAAACGCACATGGTTTTATGTAATAAAATAATTTTTAATTAATAAATATTAGAATTGTAAAATTTGGATAAAAGAACTGCAAATCCTTAGCTTAGTTATATTTCCATCCATTTCTTAAGGCTCCAGTATAACAGTTCTCTTGTGTACGGGGTTATATATAAACAAGTGTCATAAATTAACATTTTATACAGCAGACGGAACAATATTTATGCACGGTATTCTTTTAATTTGTAGCCTTAGTGTTTTACTATATTGAATTAATCTAATATTCATAGCAATGTATCGGCTTTCTTACTGGCCTACATACAGACCAATATCGATACTTATACATGGAGTAGTGTGTTATTTCTATACGAGTTTCTATATTTTATTCTTTAAATATGTAAAAATTACCTCAAAATTTACCATTCACACCTTAATATTAATAAATATAATTTAAATTTACCGTGTCAACACCTCGACTGTACCATTCATTGATATCAGAAAATTTCTTCTGCTTTTCCTCTTGAGGTCTCTGATGTTTTAAAGTGGGTCCTGTTGTTCCATAATACCAAGGAGCACTTGAAATATATTGAGGAATATGAGGATTTATATCTTTTCCTTCTTCATCGACAGCTGCTGGCGCAGTACCAGCTTTTCGGGCTTCTTCCAATTCCTTAGCCTTACGCCAGTCCTCTCGCGATTTTTTCTTGGGTTCATTTTCTATTTCACTTTTTGACTTTAAAATTTGGGATACGGGAAGATTCTGATTGCCAGTCGTCATCAGATTATTTATATTTACTTATTTAATATGTTCATGTGTATATATAGGCCTGAAATACAAATGGTTGGTTTATAAAAAAGTATTAGTCCTAACTTAGTCTTATGCTTGGTTTATAAAAAAGTATTAGTCCTAACTTAGTCTTAGTATTAACCTTAATCTTAGTCCTAATAAGTTAAATGTACAGAATGTAATGTATCGGTTTATAAAAATCCCTAGTCGTAAGGAGGTCTTAAGACATGACCTTGAAAGTTCGCATCTTTTAATTTTTCTAGGATTAAGACTAAGATTTGAGAAGTGCGCATGCACAAGTATTGCATTTCGTAGCATAGTGACCTCCTGTCTTTGTCTATGGTGGTCGCCAATACGCCATTACCATAGTAATAGGTTATATTTTTCTTTTCACTCACCAACAAAACAAATAAAATAACATTACCTCATTATAATAAACAAGTATTATGCTGTGATATTACTAGCCATGCGCGTAGTCGAATCGCTCATTGGTTAATCTTAATAAAATTAGGACCACACATTGTTTTTATAAACGTGTACCTATTCTTAGGACTAATACTAAGATTAGTGTAAAGGTTAATACTAAGACTAAGACTAAGTTAGGACTAATACTTTTTTATAAACCAACCAAAAATTACGTTAAACAACGAAAAATATAGATTCAGCTCAGCATTAATTTAACCTACAATATACTTCTTCTTCTTTTTTTTGCCTACATCCAGGGGGTATTTAACCAGCTTCTTATGTACTAGTTTTTTTATTCAAGGGAATGCAGTGCACCTGAAGTGCATCTGAGATTGGTTCATAGAAAATAAGTAGAGGTCTTTTAATATCTCATGAGCCGCGAAATGCGCGAAAGACGTGGCGTATCCCCGCCATTATTCCATGGCTAGAAATTGGCCTCAATGATTTGGGATCGAGGGGGATTATCCCTCTATATCCTGCCTCATCTCGTGTAGGCCTGGACAGCCTTCGTAGGTGGGCCCCATCCGTCGTCTACCCCGACCGCAAATGCGGCCGGTGTAGGCGCTTTGTGGGACCTCCTTTTGTCCTGGCTGGGCCCCGCCGGCTAGGGCCCTTTCTTCTGGCGCTCTTCTTGCTTCGCCGGCTCGTCTGTGTAAACCCCGGGGGTAGTGTCATGTTTATGTGTGGTATGGTTGGGTAGGGTAGTGCGGCTATGCAGCCTGGGATGCGCTTTGCTAAGGTGGCCCTTAGGCTAGCGCGGGAGG